CAGACAGGTGTTGGGAGGCAGGGGAGAGCCAGGGCTGCGCTCTGAGAAGCTCCACAGCCCTGTGTGGCTCAGCCCAGTGGGGAGCACAGCCCTGGCTCTCCCTGCCTCCCACCACAGGGCCGTGCTACATGCGGCTGGCAGAGCGAATCAGAGCACAGTCAATTCTGCCCACCTCCTGACACCCAGCTTTGCTCCAATTGGCTCCGCTGGCAGCCTGAAGCTCAGCCCAGTGGCAGAAGGTGGGCACAGTCAGTGCTGTTCTTTGCCTGCCACCACCGGGCTGAGTTCCACATGGCTGCAACCTGCTGTGAGCTGAGCCTGGCAGGGGGAAGTGCCTCCCACCACTGTGCTCAGTTCCTAGCACTGGGCTTGGAGCACAGCTTGGGGAAGTGCGTCCCCAAGCTGGGCTGAATTTACCAGCTCTGCGAACCTCTGGGAACTGAGACCAGCAGTGAGAGGTGGTTCCCTGAGCCAGGTTCAGTTCTACAGTGCTGGGTCCCAGGCAGCAAGGACAGTCTCTTGCGATCCAGAAGGCAGATTGGGGTCCAGCCCACACTCCTGGGAGGGCTGCAGGGGCTCTGCCAGACTCCTCCTGGGGGTGCAGGCTCCTGATCTGCCTGCTATATCACAGGACACTGCTCGTACTCCCTGGCTCCGCTTGTCTGCAGTTTGAGGTGCAGTTTCCTAGAAACCCCTCTACCTATCTCCTTGAAACTTGGAGCATGTCATGCCATCAGAAGGGGCTAGCATCCCTGCAAGTTTATCAGAATCAGGCAAGAAATGACAATGCTATAAGTTGTTTCATGCTTCCCCATTATAGCCTATGAGCGAAATGTCAAAACAGCATAGAAACAGCTAAACTGTTTCAATGAAATGGAACAGAACAGTGTTTTCTAAGTTAAACAAAACTCGAAAGAAAACACTGTTGTGTTGAAATGTTGAAATGGAAGTCGAAGGGGAACGCTGCTATTTGCACAGCCCTACTGCCCACCCCCAGCACCACTTTCAGGACACACATATTTGAAACAAAAAAGCTTTATTTCCCTCACAATCTCCACCCACATCTCTTCCTCCTCCCCCCACAACACATAGATCCTCCTCTTTCTTCCCTCCCCAACAAACAGAGCCCCTCCACCACCCTCCCCACCTACCAACAATAAGAAACTTGCTCCCCAGTGTCAACACTACTTACAACATCTCTGTTTTTTCTCACAGCCCTACTGCTCACCCCCAGCACCACTTCCAGGACATATGTATTTGAAACAAAAAAGCTTTATTCTCCACACAATCCCCACCCACATCTCCTCCTCCTCCCCCCTCAAAACATACAGCCCCCTCTCTCTTCCCTCCCCGACAAACAAAGCCCCTCCACCGCCCTCCCCACCCACTAACAATAGGAACCTTGCTCCCCAGTATCAAAACTATTTACAATATCTCTGTTTTTTTCTGCCACAGCGTGGGGAGTCATGACGTGGGACCTAGGGAGCAGAGCCTGGGGGAAGGTGCCCAGAAGTCAAACCTTGGGCAATTCCTCCACAGGTATGGGGATTGTGTGGACCCCAGCGGGTAGCTGACTCATGCTGCTGCCACCTGGAATGGTGCTCCCTCAGGGCAGACAACTCCTCCAGCTGCTCCAGTGCAGTGCTGGCATCCCTGTGAGGCACATCCGGGTCCTCAGGCACATGTCACAGGGGAGAGCAGTGGAGCTGGGCCCAGGTGGGTTAAAGCAGGACCAGGCCGGGGGCTAGGCCAGGGGCTTCTGTGGGCAGCAGTCACCAGGACCTCCTGCCATGTTCAGGTGGGAGCCAGGAGTGGAGTGGCAGGAGGGACCCAGAGACCCTGTGGGGCCATGGATGGAGGCGAGGCATTGTGGGACCTGGATGCAATTAACTGGTCCAAGATCGTGTTCAGGATCTGGCAGTCACCCTCCATTGCCTGGGCCTAGAGTTCCTCCTCCTCTTAGAGCAGCCCAATGCACTCCTACTTCAGGGCCTCCATCTCCACCCACTGCTCCCACTGTGCCCAGTCCTGCACCTCCTTCCACGTGGTCTCCCATGTGATATTCTTCACCCACCAGGTCTGCTCCCATTCCTCTTCTCTTCTGCCACCACCAGCAGCCACTGAAGAAGGACAGTCCTATACTTGCATACCACAGGTGTAGCTGATGCACCCAGATGGCTCCTGTCCTGGGTGGCAGTGACACAGAGATCACCTCCCTTCTGGGGCTGGTGGGCACTCCCCTGCATCCAGATGTTGGCCCTGCAGAGGCAAGAGACAGAAGGCTTTTGTGACAGTTTGTAACATTTCAGAGATAAGATGTTCTGTAGTAGGGGATTTGCATGGCTCAACCTCAGATCAGGGGTTGGCTATGAGCAGGTGCACAGGGACCATGATAAGTTGGCCGGCCAGGCCTGGGCATAAGTAGCCACCAGCCAAGTCCCCCATCCCCACATTTTCTTGTGGGACCAGCAGCACGTTGGGTGCTGGTCACAGGCAGCCTGCCTATCCTGCCCCCTTCCCAGGGAGGGATAGGCCAGGATGCTGGTGGAATCTGCTGCAGCAGCTCCAGATCCTACTCTCCCCTCTGCTCCTGCAGGCCACTTGCTCTGCTGTGTTGCCACCCAACCCATGGCACCCAGACTTGGAGCACTTGGGGCTCCCAGACAATTGGGGTGAGGGGCTGGCTGTGCCCCAACCCTTCGCACTAGGAGCACATCTGGGGAGACACCCTTGGGCCACCCCACACACACGACCACTGTGCCCTTAGCGTGCCCCTACTGCATGTACTCTGGGCAGTGCATGATGAGATGTTTAGGCAGGCCAAGAGGTGACTGGGCCATTGTGTTCTGCTGATGATGATCTTCCTGGTTCCCTGGGCACACCGACACTCCTGGTTTGGGACACTGAGCTAGGATCTTGTTTGAGGCAAGCCTGGGCTCTCCCACAACCTCTACTGCAACATGAAGAGCAACCTGTGGCAGCACTACACATCCCACCCCCACCCCCCCACTGCTGAGAAAGGCACCGCTGCCAGCATTGACACCCCCCTTGGGATGTGATAGGCCCATGCCCACCAGTTGCAAGGACACAGTCTGCTGAATAATGCTCTGAATTGTGTCCCACCTCTGTATGCTGTGGGGGAAGGAACATGGAGCTGGGAGTGTGCAGGCAGGCCAGGCAGGGAGTGGGGGCAGGGACCAGAGCCAGGGGTAGAAGCCAGGGTCAGGATTGGGACTGGGGACAGGGGCAGGGGTGGAGACTGGGAGGGCCGTTCCCCAGTGCAAGACTTGTCACTTGTCTGGGGCTAGTGAGGCTGTTGCCCTGGCACAGACCTCCTTTTTGGCAAGGGTGATTAGCTGCCATGGGCTGCAGTGTGCAGTGAGCCAGTGCCCAGCCATGGCCCCCACCAAGGGGTAAATGGTTTTGCTAGAGGGGAGCATTGACATTTCTGGCCGCTCCTTGTGGAAGGGCCTGTGGCTGCACTGAGGGTGAGGCAGCCCCTGGCTGGGGCTGCCCGAGCTGCTAGTGGGTGCAGCAGCTGGGGAGAAGGGGAGAAGTGTGCTGAAAGATCAAGGTCCCCTCCTCTGTGATGTGTCACCAGAGGGGTATAAATAGATTGGGAGTTTGGGCAGGCAACCCCTGTTGGTGACATTTGCAAGGGTACAACCTGGGGCCCGGAGTACCAAAATCCAGGTCAGCGCCTGCATAAAGGCCATGGTCTTCCAGGCATGACTGGGCTTATGATTATAGTCAGTTATGGCCATCCACTCTGCCAGTGAGGCCTTGACCTTAATGAGGCACTGCCACACCAACCAGGAGTGCTCTTACTCCCACATGCCATCCTACAGGCCTTCATAAATGTACGTATTCCAGCATGCACCCCACTTGAACTCCCTCGGCACCGCCTCATAATGCCATGAGGTTGCCAACCTCCTCCTGGGTCCAGCTGGGGGCCTGGGCATTTGGCACGGGCATATGCGTGAGTGGGGCTGGGGCTCAATGGGGAGGATGGTGAGGACATCCTGTACCAGCTCTGTGGTCCCCTGTGTGGTTGTCGCTGTGATGCTGGCCCTGGAAAGCTGCTAGCAGTACCCACTGCCGGCCTCCGAGTGGCTTGGAAGACCTGGCACTAAACTTAACGCCAGGTCACATTTACATGTCTGTTACTGCACATTATGTAATCAAGACTAAATTTGATACCTGAATTTGCAGGTATCAGAATTAGTCACACACAGCCATTTTAAATGTTTAGCAAGGGCATGCATGTATCACACATGTCCTTACTGAACAATAGACTAGGCTAAGGCGCATCAGGATGTCTTGTTTAGATGCATTCACTGTGTAACATATATGGCAAAAATGTTGGCCCCCACTCATCTAAATCATCAAAGTTAGACTGCAGAGTTTCCTAGGAATATACAAAGGGGAAGAGATGTCTTTTTTTGCAGGGCAAAAGAAAAACACCTTGTTTTACTTTTTACTTTAATTTTCAGGAGGAATGCAGCTGAGAAAAAATATTTCTAAACCTTTTAACCAAGATCAGCAAACAGCCTATCGGAAATGGTTGTTGGTAACTAGATTAGAGGTTCTACCGAGCCAGTGGGACAGGGTTTGGTAGTAATTAAAAGTCCCTAAGGGGTGCCTCTGGACCATCAGGGATCAATGAAACCATGGTAGGGTGCTAGATGATCCACTGTTACCTGTCTCCATTGTATCCTTTTGATATAAGATATTCACCTTTGATTATGTCTGGTCTACATGAGATGCTACCATGTAGTAGCATCAGGAAAAAAAAAAAGTCATGTGGGGACGCTACTGCACAATAACGCCACTTACTGCACAGTAATTTAGTACTTGGCTATGCAAGTACTAAATGACTGCACGGTAACAACTGTGCAGTCTGCTACTCATGTAGATGCAGCCCCTGAATATCAAAGTTATTTCTCACTCCTCTGTCTTCCTCCTATTAATTAGTAAGAAACTATTAGTGACACTTGCATTCAACAAAAAAACAGCTTCTTGTCTACCATCCTCCTGAATGCCTCTTTCACTTCCCTATTCCTCAGGCTATAGATCAGTGGGTTCAGCATTGGAATTGCAAGGGTGTAAAACACAGAGATGATTTTGTCCTCGTCCATGGAGTACCTTGAACTGGGCCGTAAGTACATGAAAGTGCCTGTCCCATAGAAAACAGTGACAGCTGTCAAGTGGGAGGCACAGGTGGAGAAGGCTTTACGCCTGCCATCAGCAGAGTTGATTTTTAAGATAGCAACTAAAATATATATATAGGACATGAGAATGGTCAGGATGGTAATTATTACTATTGCAGTTGAAAATGTGAAATGAATCATGTCAATGATGTGGGTATCAGAACAGGACAGCTTCAAAATTGGGGGCACATCACAGAAGAAATGGTTGATGATGTTGGAATTGCAGAAGGACAGTCGAAATATAAGAACAGCCTGGACTGTTGCATTCACCCATCCTGTGAAGTAGGAGCCCAGCACCAGAAAGATGCAGAACTGCTTGGACATAATGACAGTGTAGAGTAAAGGACTGCAGATGGCTGTGAATCGATCATATGCCATCACTGCCAACAGGCAGCATTCACAGGATACAGCAATGCAACCGAAAAAGAACTGTGCAGTGCACCCAGTAAAAGATATGACTTTGTTGTCTGTGATGAAGCTCATCAGGGTCCTGGGAGCAATGATGGTGGAGTATCCAATGTCTAAGAGGGCCAAGTTGCTGATGAAAAAGTACATAGGGGTGTGAAGCTGGGAGTCAGTCTTGATTAACACAATCATCCCAAGGTTCCCCAGTAGGATTATCAGGTAGATGAAGAGAAAGACCATAAAGAGGAAGATCTGCAGATTGGGATTGTCTGTGAATCCCAGCAAAATGAATTCAGTCACAGTAGTAGTATTCCTCTTTGCCATTTATCCCAGAGGTGCATATTGTGCTGAAAGAGGAAATGAATGCAGAATGAATGAAAACAATAGCAGAACATTAGAGTGATAGGATGTTGTCTTGACCAAGACAAAGCCAAGGTAGTCGACTTATCTGATAACACCATTTTTCTTTCACATACTATATTTGTTTGTTTTTGTCACACAGAAGTAGTAGCCTATCTAGAGAATTTACTCATGGCTTAAGGCTAGGAGATTTTGGCACATGAACAAGTTAACACAAGGTAAGCCAACTGTGAAGTTGCAGCAATGCGGGCCAACCTTTTAGGCAGACATTTAATAAATGAAGCCCTGTGCCCTCCCCAAATGCTGTTCTAATTCCCATTCCTTGCCTGATCTGCTCCTCTGCTTTCTACTCCCAGCCTTGTCCTTCTATTATGATGATCTGTTCTGCCTTCTGCTCCCTACACTCTCTGATGCTGTGCTGCCTTCCTCCTCCTCATCTCTCACATGCCACACATAGAGGCTGCCTGTGCCTCTTGTGTCACTCTGGCTGCACGTTGCCACTCCTGTTTTACAGCATCCCACAGCAACTGCAAGCCTTTATAATATAGTAAATGCAAAGTAGCTGAGCACTCGGTGAAAGTGGGGTCCTTGCATTTAACATGGAGTAAGTGCATACACACCGGTGGCTTTGTTCGAGGAGTTGATATTCTGTATGTTCGTATCCTAGCTTATTTCTATATCTGGACCCTAAGAACTAGGAGATCCAAATTCAATTTTGTAGCAGAAAACCACTGGGTCTGTTTCATCATAATATTACTTCATATGACATGACCACCCTTATTGGTTACCACTTACACAGAGGCCTGAGTAGCAAGATCTCAATTCAATAAACATACAAGCCATGAACACCTACACATATCTTCTGATGGACCTAACTTATTTCATTAAATAAAAGAGATTCATTAGCCAGAATGAATTAAACGAAATAGACTTTTAATGAGGAGACTGAAAGAAACAATGTTACATCCTGGAATTGTAGAGTTTGTGCTCAAGGGACTTTATCCTGTTACGTTCTGATGTTGTAGCAAAACCCTGGGTATTTCTTTTCTTTTTCTTGTTTTTTTTTTTACTCAAAAATACATTCCTTCCCTTTTTCAACCATTTCTGACACTTTCTATGCCCTCTCTATCCCTTATACGTAGTTATAGGTAGTCATAGGTAAGCTAAGTTCTTGTGTTCCATTATTGTAAAAAGCCCCTTTTTAGATGGTAAATAGTGTTCTGTTATTTTTGTATTGATTTTTACTGTTTTATATTGTATCCCTATTATGTTTGTATTGAATTTTATTGTTTTATATTGATATTGTATGATTTAGGTCTGTTCTGTAAAGTTAGCCAAAGTAATGTCAAGTCTCCGTTTTGTGTCCCCTGCCCAGGCATACCCTATTGTAATTGTGTTGTAACTATGACTCATACCTACCCCTCCTATATAAATTGGTTCCTGGATGAATGAGAGTGAATGAGAGTGCTTGAGACATAATGGTAGCAGACCTAAAAACAGCTCCTGCT